TCCTGGGCTCAAGGGACCCTTCCACCTCAGTCTCCTGAGTAACTGTGATTACAGCATGAGTCATTGCATCCAGCCTATATTTTCTAATTTTTTTTTTTTTTTAGATGGAGTTGCTCTGTCACCCAAGCTGGGGCGTAATGGCGCTCTCTCGGCTCGCTGCAACCTCCACCTCCCGGGTCCAAGCAATTCTTCTGCCTCAGCCTCCCTGGTAGCTGGGATTACAGGCATGTGCCACCACACCTGGCTAATTTTTGTATTTTTAGTAAAGATGGGGTTTCTCCATGTTGGCCAGGCTGATCTTGAACTCCTGACCTCAGATGATCTGCCTGTCTCAGCCTCCCAAAGTGCTGGGATTACAGGCATGAGCCACCGCACCTGGCCTGTTTTCTAATTTTTATTGCATGAAATGTCTCACGAAATGCTTTGTTAGAATTTCAGATATATGTCTAGTAATTCTATCCAAAAAGAGAACAGATTAGTCTGGCATTATTATTATTTTGAGACAGGTTCTCCCTCTGTTGCCCAGGCTGGAGTGCAGTGGTGCAATCATGATTCACTGCAGCCTCAAACTCCTGGGCTCAAACGGTTCTCCTATCTCAGCCTTTATAGTAGCTAGGACTATAGGCATGTGCCACCATGCCTGACTGATTTTTGTATTTTTTGTAGAGACGGGGTTTTATTATGTTGTCTGGGCCGATCTTGACCTCCTGGCCTTGACCTCCAGTATTGAGATTATAGGTGTGACCCACTGCACCCAGCCTTTTTTTTTTTTTTTTTTTTAGGTAAACCCATGCCGACTTAGCAGTTACTTTTTTTTTTCTAATTGTTTGCAAACACATCTTTTGGACAATTCATTCTAGATTCTTATTTGGGATCAATACTAAGATCCTTGATGTATGGTTTGGTTTGCAGATTTCACCATCTTTTTGCCTTTAATTTAGTTATCACCAGGTTTCTAGCAACTTTCCCATTTTTACATGAACTCTCAAATTTTTCTCAAATGGTTTATTAGGTTAACTGGCAAGTTTTATCAAAATTCTGGAGTGTAATTTGTTCAGTCCAGGAGTGGCAGATTTATTTAGAGTAGTCAAGTGCCCTCTTACAATCTTTATCTTCAGTTCCCTCTTACAATGTTTGTTTTATACTTTATATTCTGAGTATTATCCTTTTTAGTCAGACAGAAACATATCCATTAATCATTACACCATGAATTCTAGCACTGGGCATTTCCTTCCTTGCTTTTGTTCCAAACTTCATTTTATTGGCAATAATGTTACTAAGATACAACTCAAAAGCACTTCTTGTTGCCTAGGCTGGAGTGCAATGGTACAATCTTGGCTCACTGCAACCTCCACCTCCTGGGTTCAAGCAATTCTCCTGCCTCAGCCTCCTGAGTAGCTAGCTGGCATTACAGGCACCCGCCACCATGCCCAGCTAATTATTTGTATTTAGTAGAGATGGGATTTCACCATGTTAAGTCAGGCTGGTCTTGAATTCCTGTCCTCAGGTGATCCACCCACCTCGGCCTCCCAAAGTGGTGGGATTACAGGCATGCTCCACCATGCCTGGCCCTAGAAATCTTTAAATGTTATTTTTAGAAAACTTTTTGGTTAAATAAAAATATTTTACAAAGGCAAGTGTCTTTCTTGACTTTGAGTAACTTGCTTATGATAGCAATTTTATGAATATGTGTTAACTTCAATTGATATGTAATATATAGTAGCCCAATAAGTTAAGAATTGGGATAGGTTTGAACTTGCTAAGGAGCTTTTATTTATTTATTTATTTTTGAGATGAACTCTCGTTCTGTCATCCAGGCTGGAGTGCAATGGCATGATCTTGGCTCACTGCAACTTCCGCCTTCCAGGTTCAAGCAATTCTCTGTCTCAGCCTCCCTAGTAGCTGGGATTCCAGGCGCCCGCCACCATACCCAGCTAATTTTTGTATTTTTAGTAGAGATGGGGTTTCACCATCTTGGCCAGGCTGGTCTTGAACTCCTGACCTTGTGATCCACCTGCCTTGGCCTCCAAAAGTATTGGGATTATAGACGTGAGCCACCACACCCGGCTGTTTTTTGGTTTTGTTTTTGTTTTTGTTGTTGTTGTTATAAACACAGGGTTTCACTCTGTCACCCAGGCTGGAGTGTGAGTGCAATGGTGCAAACACAGCTCACTGTAGCCTGGACCTCTCGACCTCAAGAGATCCTCCTGCCTCAGCCTGCTGAGTAATTGGGACTGCAGGCATGCAAGGAGCTTTTTGCTAAAAAGAGATAAAGGAAAACAAAGTAAATATCACCTACTTCATCATTTGAGCTTGGGTTAGCCTTTTTAGAAAAGGAAGATGGCAAGATTGTTTCCAAAGATACTTCAAAGGGACAAAGTACTGAATATACAGCAAGCAGGGGATTAATTTTGATAGAAAAACTGGAAAGTAAATCCCCAAATGTTGGTAGATGGTATAGATGTTTTAGAAGAGAATGCCAAAGAGAAAAGTTATTCATCATTGATTGTCCTGACAAGAGCAGCAGACTAATTTGGCATGGCTGTTCTCTGAACAACATGAGATTTGTTCTTGACTGAAACAACAGTCCTTTGTCTCAAAGCATTTTCTTATCACTTGGTGAAACTGTCAGTAGTCTCCTCACCTTTATGAGGTAAGACGTGTGTGTAAAGGCCTTAAAATACTTCCTAAGACTTTATGCTGGGGATTTCTGATCTAGAAATTTCCTGGTATTTTTATTTATTTGTTTACCTAACAATTTAAGCAAAGTAATTAGAACATAACCTTTATTTAACAATGTCTGGTCTTCCACTATAGACTATAATCTTTTTGTTTGTTTGGTTTGGTTTGGTTTCTGTTTTGTTTTATTTTTATTTATTTATTTATTTTGAGATGGAGTCTCGCTCTATCATCCAGACTGGAGTGCAGTGTCATGATCTTGGCTTACTGCAGCCTCCACCTCCTGGATTCAAGTGACCCTCATGCCTCAGCCTCCCGAGTAGCTGGGATTACAGGTACATGCCACCCCGCCTGGGTAATATTGGTATTTTTAGTAGAGACAAGGTTTTGCCATGTTGGCCAGGCTGGTCTCAAATTCCTAACCTCAAGTGATCCACCCAACTTGACCTCCCAAAGTGCTAGGATTACAGGCGTGGGCCAGCACACCTGGCCATGTTTTATTTTGTTTTAGAAATGGTGTTTTGCTGTGCTGCCCAGGTTGGAGTGCAATGACTGTTCACAGGAACAGTCATAGCACACTGCAGCCTCAAACTCCTGGCCTCAAGAGACCCTTCTGCCTCCACCTCCCAAGTAGCCAGGACCACAGGTGCATGACATTGCATCTGCCTGTTTTTTGTTTTGCTTTGGACTGTAATTTTAACCTGATATGAATAAATTTGTCATGTATTTAAATTACTCTAGTCATGCAAGTGATTTAATTTGTTATCAATAAGGATTTGTAGACTATATGCAATTATAGCTAGATGAAAGATAAATTACTCAAATGAATGGTCTTCCTTCTGCTCTCTTTTTTCCTCCAGTCTTTGTCCAAATTTTATCAGTTCTTCCAAATCCTCTTTGAATGCTACTCTGTGTAGGTATATTCTTGCTGTGTGCAGATCATTTGAATTTTTGGTATTCAGGCCATTTTTCCTACTATATTATAAGCTGTTAGAAGGCTGGGTCTGTATCTTATTTATCTTTATATCTTCCATAACACACTGCTTTGCACAAAGTTGATATTTAAGCATCAGTGTATTAATGAATAATGTAATTGATGACAAACATTAATAACCACCTCAGCTTTTCACTAGTATTACTAAAACTTTATTAATTGAGAGAATATGCAATCTCTCTTTTCCATCACAGGCTTCTGTCTCTAAACAAGGGAAAATTTTAGGGAGACCTTCTTTCTATCCCATTTATTTCTCCCCCCACCCCTTTTTTTAGTTCTACTTCTCTGTTGCAGCTCTATTTATCTTTTCACTATGACTCATTCTTTTTTTCTCAATCCTGCCCCTTCTGTATCTGTCTGTTTTTTATTACTCTGCCTCTTGCTCCTTTTAATTCCTAATGCCACTTACAACTTTGTTTTCCTGTCACCTGGTCTTTCTGTTTTCGTTCTTTCTGTTTGGCTTTCTCCTGCACTTGTCAGTACCTCTCTCCTTGCCCTCAAGGTACAGGGCAGGATTAGGTATAGGAGGAGCCCAACTGGGGTAGGGGTGGAGCCACCTGTTCACTGCTTCAGGATTCAGAACCTGACTAGGAAGGATCGGCTGCTCAAGGGTAGCTGGGACTGAAGTCCCTATGACCTTTTCACTAGAGGCTAGCATTCTGGAGGACAGTTGGGACTTGGTAAGCTCAGAAGCTCTCCCTGTCTTCCTTTGTGTTCTCCCTTTCTTCTTTCCTGTTCTGCATGTTTCACTCACAGTCTCTCTCTCCATACTACTAACTTTTCTTCAGTTTCTCTGTTTTACTGTTATTCTCTTTCCTCTTTCTTCCTATCAGTGAACTCTAGTATTTGTCTTTTCTCTTACCTATTCTTTCCACACATCTCTGTATTCTCTGTCAACATTTTTCCTACCCCCTCTCCATTTTGTTCTTCCTTTTATTAGTTTTCTCACCCAGGTTTCTTTTTTCTTAAACTTCTGGCCTCAAGTGATCCTTTTACCTCAGCCTCTCAAAGTGTCGGGATTACAGGTATGAGCCACAGTGCCTGGCTAGCTTGCTTTTTTCATTTAGTCATTTTTAATCCACATCTCTATTTTTTAAAAAATCATACTATTTCCCAGAGAAACAGAAATAAGAGAGGAAAAAAGGAGCACCTTGTCTTTCCAGGGGCCCGTTCAGCCTTTTGACTCATTCTCAGGCTTGTAGTACGTTTTGAGATTAGGCTTTGAAGAAAATTTATTCTGTATAAGTAGTTAATAATGAACATAGAGTTAGGTTGAATATTCAATGTAAAAGGTTTAATTTTATTCTTTTTTCCTTGTTTTATTTAGGTTTTTCCTGCAATACAGTGGATACAATTTGTCATGGCTACTCTGAGGTATGTTTAATCTCATATAACTAAACTAGTATAAGCACAATTGGTCAATTCTGTAGTTTTCCACATTTCCCCCTCGGGGATTTGCTTTTACTCTTTAGTTAAAAAGAAATGATGTTCTTTATCATGTTGATATCTTCTTACTAATAAAATGACAACATTAACAACAATAACAACAAAAAACTGATTAAAGGTTAACATCTGAACATCAGTGGACAACCTGGTCAACAGGATCAATTGCAAAATCAATAGCAAAGTGCTTACTTAAGCAGTATCTATACTAAAACTTGGAATGACACAGAGAAAATAGGCAGGGCTGAGCTCACACCTGTAATCCCAACACTTTGGGAGACTGAGGTGGGCAGATCGCTTGAGCTCAGGAATTTGAGACCATCCTGGGTAACATGGTGAAACCCTGTCCCTACAAAAAACAAAACAAAACAGAAAACAAAAAACCATAAAAATAGCTGGACATGGGGGTATGTGCCTGTAGTTCCAGCTACTCAGGAGGAGCTGTGATTGTGCCACTGCACTCCAGCCTGGTTGACAGAGCAAGACCCTATCTCAAAACAAATTAAAAAAAAAAAAAAAGATTGACATGGCCTCTGGATAAGGAGAACATGCAAATTTGTGAAGCATTCTATATTTGTTTAAAAGTATTGGCTGGGCCGGGCACGGTGGCTCAAGCCTGTAATCCCAGCACTTTGGGAGGCCAAGACGGGCGGATCACCTGAGCCCAGGAGTTTGAGACCAGCCTGGGCAACATAGCAAGATCCTGCCTCTACAAAAAATAAAATAATTAGCCAGTTGTGGTGATGCACACCTCTAGTCCTAGCTATTAAGGAGGCTGAGACAGGAGGATCACTGGGGCCCAGGAGTTCAAGGTTACATTGAGCTATAATGGCACCACTGCACTCCATCCTGGCTGACATAGCAAGACCCCGTGTCTAAAAAATTGGCTGGGCCGGGCACGGTGGCTCACACCTGTAATCCCAGCACTTTGGGAGGCCAAGGCAGGAGGATCACTTGAGCCTGGGAGTTTGAGACCAGCCTGGGCAACATAGTGAGACCCTGTCTCTACAAAAAATTTTTAAAAAATGAGCTGGGCATGGTAGCAGATGCCCGTAGTTCCAGCTAGCTACTCAGGAGACTGAGGTGGGAGGATCACTTTAGCCCAGGAGTTGGAGGCTGCAGTGAGCTGTGATTATACCACTGTACTCTAGCCTGGGTGACAGAAGGAGACCCTGTCTCTAAAAATAAAAACAAAAATAAAAAAATATGTGCAGGGCTGGGCATGGTGGCTCACACCTGCAATCTCAGTGCTTGAGAGGCCAAAGTGGGAAGATCCCATGAGGCCAGGAGTTTGAGACCAGCCTGGGCAACATAGCAAGATCCTGCCTCTACAAAAAATAAAATAATTAGCCAGTTGTGGTGATGCACACCTCTAGTCCTAGCTATTAAGGAGGCTGAGACAGGAGGATCACTGGGGCCCAGGAGTTCAAGGTTACATTGAGCTATAATGGCACCACTGCACTCCATCCTGGCTGACATAGCAAGACCCCGTGTCTAAAAAAATTTTTTTATGCAGTTTATTTTATATCAATCATGCCAATAAAACTGTAAAAAAAAATCCCAAAATTAATAACAAAAACCATGGCACTCCATTGTCCTGCTTTAATGATCAGTCATCTTCTAAATCTCTCAGTGTTATAGGTTCAAGTTCACTTATTGCCTATGCTGTATGAAATCTCCAGAGGTAAGTGATTCTCTTTTGTGTTGGATTTGAAAACTTTTTAGTGGATTATGCCCAAAACAAAACAGATGTTACCTATAAATGGTGAAAATAATTCTATGATTACTTTTAAATTTGTCATGATGATAAATGAAGAATATTTT